GCGGGCAAGCAAGCGGGGAGCGGCGGGCCGACGCGGCGGAGCGGGCGGGCAGGGTTATCGGGGGAATCGTGTCCACAATCAGCGGCAGCGGAGCAGCAGCCGCAGCAGCAGCTGCTGCAGCAGCAAGCAGCAGCCAGATTGCTGCCGTTGTCTGCGCCGCGATCCGCCGCCGCGTCGCCGCGCCGCCGCCGCCTGCGCTCGCCGCCGCCTCGTAGACGACTCCTCTCGCGCTCGGAGAGCCGCGCAGCGGGCCGCGAGGTTGTGGTCAGAGAGCAGCAGGGTTGAGATCCACAAAATCGGCCAAATTTGAGGTTGCTCGAGAGAGCCTGGAAGAATGGTCCCGCGCCGTTGCCCCGGTGCCGGCGCATCACGTCTCAGCCGCGATGGGCCGGTTCCGCCGCGCAGTCGAGCAGCAGGAGCTCGGAGGCAACTTTGTCGACAAACTGGTCGAGCCAAAAATCGGCGAAGAAGCGGCACTGGCGGCACGCCGGGACGAATCCGGACTGATCACATTGTTCGGCACCGCGGCGGCGAGCCGCCGCGAGCCCACAGGAGAGCTGGGCGCCGCGGCACCAGACCGCGCCGCCAGCGAGGCGAGAGCACCAGCCGACCGGCCGTGACATGGCAGTTAGACGGCGGGAGCCCGTAATCCAGAAGGTGTGGCCAAATTTCTCTCTCGATCTTTTTCTTTATCTGTTGTGGAGAGAGAGAGTTTATCTGTTGTGTTCGATCCTTATCTGTTGTGTTCTCGCGCAGCGACTGTTCGCAGACCTAGTGGGCAGCGTTGTGCCGGAGATGCGAGCACGTCGCTCGCGCCGTCTTTTTGTGCTTGTTTTTTCTTTTCTCGCTGGAGGGGCGCCAAAAAATGCCCGAGTCAGTGTGTGGCACGTCGCCTGCCGGGGCGCCGCTGCTTGGGCAGCGAGTCGAGCTCGGCGGGCTCTCCTCCCGCCCCGAGCTGAACGGGCAGCGGGGTGAGGCGCTGAGCTTCGAGGGCGGGCGGTACGCTGTGGCGCTCGAGGGCGGCGGCGAGAGCGTGCGGGTGCGGCCGGGTAATCTGTCGCCAGCGGTGTCGAGCGGTGGCGTGGCAGTCGCCGACGAGGTCGTGGCAGCGGCTGAGCGAGGCGAGGAGGAGGCGGTGCTGGCGTGGCTTGAAAGTGGCGGGCGGCCTGACGCGACGTACAAGAGAGGCAGCGTGAGCGGCATCACGCTGCTGATGCCCGCCGCCGGCGCAGGCCACGAGCGGGTGGTCGACTTGCTGATTCGGCGCGGCGCTGAGGTAAACTTGCAGAGCAGCAAAGGCGTCACCGCGCTGATGGGCGCCGCCTTCAACGGCCACGAGCGGGTGGTCGACTTGCTGCTGCAGCACGGCGGTGAGGTCAACCTGCGGGACAGCCTCGGCTCCACCGCGCTGATGCACGCCGCCTGCTTCAACCACTCCGCCGTCGTGCGGCGCTTGCTGCGGGCGGGCGCAGACACGGCGGCGCGCAGTGCGAACGGCAAGACGGCGCTGCAGTTTGCCAAGGAGCAGAGCCACGCCGAGTGCGTCGAGGCTTTCAGGCAGCACGTCAAGGAGTCGGTCGTGGCGGGACGGCCCACTGCGGCGGTAGCCGGCGGCGCAGGCGCAGGCGGCGTTTCCTCCGGCGGCGCTTCCTCGGCTGGATCGAGAGTCGCGAAGACGCTCTCTCCAGCGGGGGCGGCGGAGCAGGCGTCGAGCGGTGTCGTGGCAGTCTCCGATGAGGTCGTGGCAGCGGCGGAGCGAGGCGACGAGGAGGCGGTGCTGGCGTGGCTCGAGGGCGGCGGGAAGGTCAACGCGACGTACGAGAGTTACTCCGAGAGAGGCGACGCGAGCGGCCTCACGCTGCTGATGAAAGCCGCTGTCCACGGCCACAAGCGGCTGGTCGAGCTGCTGCTGCAGCACGGCGCGGACATCGATCTGCAGAGCAGCACCGGCACCACCGCGCTGGTGGGCGCCGCCCTCCGGGGCCACGAGCGGGTGGTCGACTTGCTGATTCGGCGCGGCGCTGATGTCAACCTGCAGAGCAGCGAGGGCGGCACCGCGCTGATGAACGCCACCACCAACGGCCATGGGCGGGTGGTCGACTTGCTGATACGACGTGGTGGGGCGGAGATCAACCTGCAGGACAGCGGCGGCAACACCGCGCTGATGTACGCCGCCGCCCACGGCCACGAGCGGGTGGTCGAGTTGCTGCAGCACGGGGCGGAGCTCGACCTGCAGAACAGCAAAGGCTACACTGCGCTGATGTTCGCCGCCAGCCGCAACCACCCCGCCGTCGTGCGGCGCTTGCTGCAGGCGGGCGCAGACGCGACGGCGCGCAGCACGAGCGGCAAGACGGCGCTGCAGTTGGCCAAGGAGAAGGGCTTCGCCGAGTGCGTGCGCGCCTTCGAGGAGCACTCGTCGGCCGCAGCAGAAGCAGAGCGGGAGACGGCGGTGGCAGAACAGGCCGCGGCGGCCGCACGCGAGGTGGCAGCGGCTGCGGAGGCGGCGGAGGCGCGCGATGCTGCCGAGGCGGCGCTGCGCGAGGCTGTGGAGGCGTGCGAGCGAGGCGACGCCGATCTCGAGGCGCTCAGGGCGGTGATCAACGCGAACGTCGAAGCCGCCGACGGCTCGGAGGCGTTACGGGTGGCGCGGCGGCTGTGCGACGAGCTGGCGGAGCGAAGGACCCGCGAGGCGAGGGCGCTGAAGCGGCAGCGGCAGAAGGAGGAGAAGGCGGCGGCGAGGCAGGCGGCGGAGGAGGCGCGGGCGGCGGACGAGGCGCGGGCGGCGGAGGAGGCGCGGGCGGCTGAGGAGACGCGAGTGGCGGAGGAAGCGGATCGGGTGGTAGCAGAGATTGCGGCGGCGCGGGCGGCAGAGGAAGCGGAGGCGGCGTCGCGGGCAAGGGAGGAGGCAGAGGCGAGGGCAAGGGAGGAGGCGGCAAGGGAGAGGGAAGAAGCGAGGGAGAGGGCGGCGACGGAGGCGGCGGCGGAGGCGGCGGCGGAGGTGGCGGCTGTAGAGGCGGCCGTCGCGGCCGTGGCGGCGGCGGAGGCTCAAGAGGCGGCGGCAGCGGAGCCGTCGGCAGCGGCGGCGGCAGCGGTGGCTTCGGCGAGTGTCGCCACCCTCGCCGCCGCCGCCGCGCCGCCCGCCGCCGTCCCTCTCGACGAGCTCATCGCAGCGACGGACGGCTTTGCCGAGGCGCGCAAGGTGGGCGAGGGAGGCTTCGGGCGCGTCTACCGCTGCGACGCGCTGCCGTCGCTCCTGCGCGTCGCTTGCGGGTTCGCCGTCAAGACGGCGCTGGTCGGTGTCGGCGCCCAAGGCCTCGCCGAGCTGCAGAGCGAGGTGCGCACGCTCAGCGCGGCGTGTCACCGGTCCCTGCTCCCTCTCCTCGGCGTCTGCTTGGCGCCGGCGAGAGCGTGCCTCGTCTACCCCCTCTGCCGCGGCGGCAGCCTCGAGGACCGCCTCTACCGCTCGCCAGCCGCACTGCAGCGGCTCCGCATGCTCGGCTTCGAGACGCCGCCTCCGCCGCTCTCCTCTGCCGCACGGCTCCGCGTGCTGCGCGACGCCGCGAGCGCGCTACATTACTTGCACACGCGCTCTCCGATGATCCTGCACCGCGACGTCTCGGCGGGCAACATCCTGCTCGACGAGCGCGGCAACGGCTACCTCGCCGACGTGGGCCTCGCGCGCGCGGCAGACGCGACGGCCGGCAGCAATGGACAGGTGTCGCACCTGTCGACGCAGCGCCTCTTCGGCAAGCTTGGGTACATGGACTCGATCATTTCGCAGAGCGGGCAGGCGTCGCAGCTGACCGACGGCTTTGCGCTCGGCATCACTCTGCTTGTCGCCCTGACCGGCCGCGGCGCCGTCGGCCTCCTCGACGAGTGCTACGCTGCCCTGGAGGAGCCCGACACCGCGAAGGAGGGCATCGCGGCGGCCGACGCGGGCTGGTCGGCGGCGCAGGCCGAGGAGCTGGCGAGGCTTGTGGTCGGGCTGGCGTACGAGAGGAAACCGAAGCGGATGCCGCTCGCAGACGCACTGCCGCGGCTGGAGGCGCTAGTCGAAGCAGCGGGGGAAGTGGGTGAGACGGCTCGGGCCGAGGAGCGCCAGTGTGACCTCTGCTGGGACGCGCCGCGCTCGGTCCGCTTCGCGTGCGGCCATGCGCTGTACTGTGAGACGTGTGCGCCGCGCGTGCTGGAGCGCGACACCAACTGCCCGGCTTGCCGCAAGCCGGCGCTGCCGCTCGCCGCAATTGGGACACAGGTGGCAGAGCAGGCGACGTTTGTCCACCAGCCGCCCGCTCGCGCTGTGCCACACCCTCCGCCCGCTGGTGCCGCGGCGGTGGTCGGCGGGCGAGGCGGGCGAGGCGGGCGGGGAGGGCGGGGCGGGCGGGGCGGGCGGGGGAGGCCGCGGGGCGAGGGGCGGGGCGCTGGCAGCTCGTAGCTCATAAGACATTACCGGTAGTACGTGAATGCGTTTTGCATGTTTTATCCCCCACGCCGGTGCGGCCCAGGGTGTGTGCGTGCGGTGACTGCTGATATACGATTACACAGTACGCGATAGCGTGTGAATGCTGCGAATCGTTAAACTATGAATGATCGTGTGAGCCGCTTTTGTTTCGGCGGCGCAGCGCGTGGTTCGTTTTCTCATCATAAATAGCGAACGACTCCCTCTCCTCGCATGCCTCTCGCGCTGCGCTGCGGGCCCTCTTGCGCCGTTCGTGGGAGTTCGGACATCTCGTTCGAGTTGACACGCGCTTCTCCAACCTCTCTCGCTCTCTCTCTCTCTTGCGCACTTCCCCCCCCCCGACTAGTCGTGTGAGCACGAAGCGCTTCGCGTGCTTTGCGCTCTCGAGCTCGGCCAGGCACGCGTTCCTCGCCCATCGGGCGCAGAAGGCGAGCATGGACTCCATCTCCTTGCGGCCGCCTACTCACGCGCGGGCCACCCGTGAGGAGCCGCCGCGCCGGCGTGGGTCGCGCGGACGGCGTCGGCGTCGCGGCCGCCCGTGTTGGAAATCGTGATGTTGTTCATCGTGAAGCCGAGCGTGAAGACGTCCGCCTGTTCACGCCGCGGTATTTGAGGAGCACCGCTACACTCTGAAGTTCGGCCGGGTGGTCTGCAGACCCCCCCCCCCCCCCCGAAGCAGCAGAGGCTCCGTGGGGTCGCAAAGTCGACGCTGGGAGTCGCACTCGTCAAACCATCGCAGCACCACGCGGTCCGCACGTACCGCCCACATCCGCTCCACCGCTGAGAAGGCGCAGATCGACCGCCGGGCCGCGTAGTCGGCGTTAAGGAGCGGTTTTCGGAGCCGTACGAAGAGGTCCCAGACGGGCGAACATGCGGTTTTTCGATGACCACACGCGATGTGGTATCTGGTTTTTGCTAAAAACGGGCCGCCTAGTGCAGCATCACTAGTAAAACACGCAACCACACTGAGAGCTCCACACTAGCCGGTATAGGCGAGCCCCGGCGGCCTCACCGTCGCCGCTCGCGGCGGAGCCGACGGCGGAGCCACGGGCCGCCAGGGTGCAGCTGCAGGAAGTCGAGAGTGCCATCAAAGGGACTGCGGCAGAAGACGCCCAATCTTGCTGCGCAAGAACCATGCGGTGTGCGTGGCATTACCAGGGCCAGAGTGAGCAGGTGGCGCGGTCTAATTTTTCCTTTGGAGCACTTGGAGTGCAGTCATTAGCCTCACATCCAGGGCCGGGGAGCTAAGAAGCGCACCCAGCGGGCCGGATGATCGGGATCGGGTTGCGGGCAAGAGAGCCCTAGCCCCGGGGGTGCGCGTTCGCAGGGAAAGGGCCTTAAAGTAAACACGGGTCTCCGAGGGTTGGCTCCGCGCTCCGGGTTTCCCCTAGCAGCAGACCGCCCCCTCTACTCGGCGCTATAATGAACACCAGACATGAACACGACACGTACTCTCACACGACGTCACCGCTCAGGGCCCCTTCGCGCAAGGTCCTCATCCTCACTCCGGAGGAGGCTCCCCTCTCCTCTGAGTTCTTCCTCCTGTTCGCCTTCCGATGATCATCCGACGGGCGCGGGGCCCGACCTCCCCTCCTAGCCTTTTCGCAGCCGCGGCCCCGCCACCACCTCGTCTTCTCTGTCCGATTCCGTCGCCACCACCGACGGTGATCCCATGCCCGACTCCTCGGGCGATGGCAGCGGCATTGGATCGCCACCCTACCCTTCCCCGGGAAGTGGGGCCAGCTCACTTTGATCGAGGACTCGTGCCCGCCCCCGCAGTCTCCCTATCGTCCTCGGCTCGTCCGAACGTCCCGACTCTACTCGCAAAGGCCGCGCCAGCTCATCTCTCACCCTCTCCGAGTGAGTGAGTACACACACACACACACACACACCCTTGGGCCGCGTACCATACCATACCCCGGAAAAAGTTGGAACCGAGGTGGGGCCTCAGAAGCCGTCGCCCCCACCACAGGAGGAAGCCGTCGCCCGCGCCTCGCCTGTTCCCCTGAATCGTGTCGGCGCGCACGTTTTTTTGGAATTTTTTCCATAAATCTTTTTCTCAAATCTTTTACAACTCACGGTTCCAGCCTGGTGGGGGCTGCCATCGCCGCCAGCCACTCTCGGCCGACACCGACCTCCTCTGGTAATGCTGGTGCTACCTCTCATCGCCCATACGTTCGCCACACCGGGCCGCTCTCCGGTCCTGCGGCTGCCGTCCGCCGCCAGCGTGTCGGGCCGGCTCGATGGCGCGCAAAGTGCTGCCACGCTAGCTGAGGAGAACGAGCTGCTGCGGGCGCGCGTGGCGGAGCTGGAAGAGCGTGCGGAGTCGACCGAGGGGCTCTGCGAACTGCTCGACGACGGCGGCGGCTGGACGTCCTCCCTCCGCACGCGCGCCTCGTGGCTGCTCGGGCTGCTCGTGTGCCAGAGCGCATCTTCGCTGGTGCTGGTGAGTCCACGGAGGGTAGTGCTGGTGGCCCCACACGTGCACACACACGCTCCTCGCGCCCGGGGCGAGCCGACACGGAGGCCCGCCATCGCGAGGCGCGGCGTGTCGGACCTTCGAGCCGCCCCTCTCACCCCGCACCTGGAATCATCAGCACCAAGTCGGGTACGCGAGCAAGCCAACGCGCTGCGAGAGAAGCCTGCTCCGCCCTCTGAAGACGCGGTCCACACCGCCTGCTCGCACCGAGCCACCCTGACGCAACGGCTCTTGCGATGTTGCGATGTGCCGCGCCCGCCCCCGCCAGGCGGAGAACGAGTCTCTGCTGCTCGAGCACCCGACGGTCATCTTCTTCATGACGATGCTCGTCGGCGCGGGCGGGAACGCCGGCAACCAGGCGGCCGCGCGAATCACGTGCACGACATGCCCACGACATGCCCACGACACGTCCACGACACGTCCACGACACGCCCACGACACGTCCACGACACGTCCACGACACGCCCACGACACGTCCACGACACGTCCACGACACGCCCACGACACGTCCACGACACGTCCACGACACGCCCACGACACGTCCACGACATGTCCACGACACGCCCACGACACGTCCACGACACGCCCACGACACGCCCACGACACGTCCACGACACGCCCACGACACGTCCACGACACGTCCACGACACGTCCAGGCGGCAGTGCGAATCATCCGCGGCCTCGCCACCGGAGAGGTTGATCCGCGGCCGACGCAGCGCACGCGCAGCATCGTGTCGGACGAGCTGCTGCGAGCGGCGGTGCTCGCCTTTATCCTCGTCGTCGCCGGGTTTGTGCGCGTCGTCGCCTTCGACGCAACGCTCGCCGCCCTCTAGATGCCGGGACACCCCCCACCTCTCCCCATCTTTCGCGTCGCTCGGCGCTCTGAATGCAGTGCACGCCGGGACTATCTTCACACCGCCGGCATTCGCGCTCCAGGCTCGCCGATGCCGCCGCCATCTCCGCCTCCCTCTTCCTCATCGTTAGCACGTCAGTTGTGCTCGGCACCCTACTCCCGCTGCTGCTGCAGGCCGCAAAGATCGACGCGGCACACGCGTCCACCACTATCCAGGTGGTCATGGACGTGCTAGGAGTGCTAATCACCTGCTCCGTCGCCCCTGTCGTCTTTGGCGCCTTGGCCACGTAGGGGCTGTCTAGTTTTTCGTCCCCAGACGGTGTGCGGCTGTACGCTCTGCGTGGGTCATGGTCAGCGTGTGCTGGAGTGAGACTGGCGTAACACGGTAAGGTTCGCGAGCGTGGCAATAGCTCCACACACGCGGCGAGCGGCGTAGAGCGCCTTAGCCCTTACGTCCACATCTTTAAAAAGATAGTAGGATAAAGCCGATCGCGTATTTCGATCGCACCGTATGCGACGCGTGACTGCCCGGGTTCTCGCTGATTCGCTCGGTTCTCCGCACGCGGCGCGGCTCGGTGGCCCCCCCGCCAGTTGTGCGTACGAGGAAGTAATTACTATGAACCAGACCACGAAACTTTCTACACCACACCATCTCACACCACACACCAATCACCATGGTCCATGCTCGTCACATGTGCGACTGCGCACACTCAAGGCAATGCCAATGGCGTCCGATGGTGAAGCAGTGAGGCGAGCTTAGATGCTGAAGAGTCCAAAGCGGCGCAGCCGGTTGAGGCGTGGTTGCTCGCCCTGCAGGGAAAAGTTCGTGGGACCCCGTGGCCACTGTGGCTTGGCGCTGCTGACAAGCGGCAGGCGGGTGCCATTATCCAAGACCGTGGGTCCGGCCTCGCCTTTGCTGTGCCGCCGCTGCGGAGTGGGCGGTTGTGGGCCGTCGATGTGCGCGAGGGTGAAGGGGACCGGCATGGGCGCAAGGAAGACGAAGGAGAGAGAGGTTTCGAGAGGCCTTGTTGATCGCGGTGGCAACTATGACTCCTTGTCTGTGATGAGAGGCGGCTGGAAATTTCATCTTAATCCTGACGAAATAAGGGCGGGCACTGACGGACGGAGATCAGCTATAGAGAGCGTCACATGTGCCCCCCCCCCCCCCCTGTGTTAGTGCCAGTGCGCACCAGAAAGAAAGAAAGAAAACAGACACGCCAAACGAGGGATGGGACGAGGACAGGGTCCCCACCTGCACGAGCAGGATTTTGGAAGGACGATCAGGGGGACAGGTGGGGCTCTCCTGCTCCTGACAAGGGACACGACAGGCTCGCAGCGCGGTGCGCGGTGGACTCCCACATCCACTGGCGGTCTCATCTCAGTCTAGCGACCTGCCTCCAGCTTGTCGCTGGCAGTCTCTCCTACCAACCACAGGCACACTGACACAGGGGTGGCAGGGGCGGCGGCACGAGTCTCCCACATACTATGCGGGCCTCTCTTCAGCTGCCGCATCTGCCTTTGGGACGCCTGCCGTGTGTGCGCCGCCTCGGGCCGCCTCACCCTCCCCGGCAACGACGCGCGTTCGAAGCGCATCTCCCGAGTCGGCGAGAGCCTTGAGGCGCAGATCGGTTGGATTGCGAGTGCGGTGGAGAGCAAGGCCGCTGCAGATGACCCGGCGGCGCTCGCTGGCATTCCCGCGCCCTTTGAGAGGACGTCGTGCTTTGCGTGCGTCCCTCCTGAGGATCGCGCCTGGTGGAGGTTCCTCGTTCCTCCTGAGTGGGTGCCGCCGCTCCTGGTAGAGGTGCGTTTGCCGTCCGGCCTCCTCCTCCTCGCGCCTCCGCCCCCGGGCAGCGCCGGCACCTACCTGCGCTGCTCCATTCCAAAAAGCGAGGCGTCGGCGCGCGACCTCGCCTACTGCTCCCAGTGCGGTCGCACCAACTGCCAGTGCTCAGTCAAGACCCAGCTGGCGAGGGACTTTGGTCAGCTCAGCCGGCGGCTGTCCTTCAACCGACGCAACACAGTCCGCCGCGTGCAGCTCGACGACCCTGGCGCGTGGGCCGGTGTGAAGGAGGCCAAGAAGGCGCTCTCCTTCTCGCGCCGCAGAAGCGGCAGCAGCAGCGGCAGACGGACCGCGGCGGAGGAGCCGGCAATGGCGCAGGCGCCGGCAGTGCCGCTTGGCAGGTCGGCAGGCGCGGCCGAGGCGGCACTGAGGGTGGTCGCGCCCGCTTCGCCTGCCGCTTCCTTCCCTCCGCTCGCCCCCGTGCTGGCGACGCGTTGGCGGCGGGTGCGCGCGGCAGCCCACCTCGAGTCGATGGCTGGCGCACGGCTTCAGGTACCGCGAGCCCCTGCCCACACACCCGGTGTAGACGCGCCATTCTCGAGGGCCCCACCGCAGGTGGCGCCGCTGCCGGCGGGTGAGCAGGGCGTCCGATTCGAGCAAGGCGTGAGGCCACCCGTGGTTCACTCCATAAGTGATGCGAGCCCGCTCCGCGGCGTGATCTCCCCGGGCGCCATCGTCGCGTTTGTCGGTCTCGCCGGCAGCTCTCTCCCTAGATGCCGAGTACACATCCTTCATGCCCAGCGAGCACTCGAAACGGCATATGCCATTGCGAGCCTCCCTTGAACCTTCCCGGAACCTTCCCGGAACTTTCCCCCTCAGGAGAGTCGACGGATTGCGCCGCGATGGACGGCGACGCGCTCGACGCGGCCTTGCGAGCGCATGCGGAGAGCGAGCGTCGCACTCTCCACTGGATCGCCGCCGCCGACATCCCCGATGTGCTCGCCTCCATCGCCGAGCGCGAGGCGTCGCTGGTGACAGTCAAGGTGCGCACGAGCTGGACCCCGCAGCGGGAGGTCGACTACCGGACGCGTCTGGCGCTCCCTTCTGGCAAGAGGGCGACGCCGCAGGAGATCGAGGCGGCCACCGCGGAGCTCTCGCTCCAGCTAGCAAACCTTGGGCGCGTTGCGCCCGGCGAGGCGTGACAAGACCGGGGATGTGGGGGAGCTGGGACAAACCGACGGGGGAGCGAGTGAGAGGACAGGACCCCTTGCGCCTTGGCCTTGCCACCGGCTTTATCTCCCCGAGATACCGGATACCGCCCACCCGCCCCACGGAGCACGGTGGCATAAGGTGTGACTGACGAGGGAGAGGCGGTGGTTGGTGGCGGAGGCGGCGAGGGGACGCGCGAGCGGCGCGGCGGGGTGGACATGTCGCTCAAGGTGAGAAAAGAGTTGAGAAGTTTACAACAATGAATGGGCTTCCGCGTCGGGAGCGCCGAGCCGTGGAGAGAGCGAAGTACTCCGAGTAAATAACGGCGAAGCTCGCGGCGGAGCCGCCCATGGATGTGGTGTCGTGTTTGTTTTGTGTTTGCTCACTTCGCGCCGGGGTTGGCGTCGCGCGCGCGGCGCGCGCGCGCATAGCACAAGGCAGCCTCCTCTGCAGTGGCGAATGAGCCAAGGTTCCTGTGCTTTGGCTTGTGGAGATACGCCATGAAAGGTCGGTGGCGAGTGACCCGCCTCTTGTCCTTTTGGACGCCCTCGAATCCGGTAGCGGTGGTCTCGGAGCGGTACAGGCTGATGCCCTCCGCCTCTGCATGCCTCAGAACCTCATCTACTGTGAAGGGGGTAGACGGAGGAAGGTGGCGCAGAGATGGATCGTACCTTTGGGGCACGCCTGGCATCGATGGCGGCGAGACGATTGCTGCGGTGGTGGCCGTGGCCGCGGCTGCAGCCTCCTCGTTGGACGCTTCCGGACCGATAGCCCGAGCGTACGCGAGAGCAGCTTCCTCCGCCGAGTGGTAGCTGCCTAGCTTCACGTTCACACCGTCAAGTCGCCTTTCTGCGACGAAGCGAAATTTGACGCCGGACTTTCCATTGCCAGCCACATGCTTGAAGCCACTTTTCGAGCCAGTTCGAATCAACTGCAGTCCTTCATCCTTTGCTGTTTGAAGGACCTCCTCGGCGGTCATGCGTGGCTGTTCTGCTCTCTTCTTTTGCAACGATGGATTATCACGGGCATCACGCGCATATGCGAGCGCCGCCTCCTCAGCAGTCACGAATGTACCAAGGCGTTCGTGCCTTCGCACCGCAGTGAAATGGTGCCCCAAGCTATTCGCAGGCACGGGCACGACGCCAACATAGCCAGATGACCGCTCAGATTTCTCCAGGACGAGGCTCTCAGCCTCTGCAGCACGCAGCGCTTCCTCACGCAGTTCCTGCTCTTGCTGTGCGTTGAATTGAACGTGCACGGCTCGGCGAGGCAGAATGATGCAGCCTTCCACCACATCCTCGGCCGCCACTGCAGTACATTCAACAACAGCACAGGGCTCGCCAGCAGGCGGGCCATCGTCCGTCGCGACGAGAACTTCGACCTCCATTCTGCGCGCGCCCGCTCCAAGTTTTACACGGAGTGCGAGTAAAACGGCAACGCCATAAAATGAATCACGGACGCGGCACAAACGCGTCTGGCGCTCCCTTCTGGCAAGAGGGCGACGCCGCAGGAGATCGAGGCGGCCACCGCGGAGCTCTCGCTCCAGCTAGCAAACCTTGGGCGCATTGCGCCCGGCGAGGCGTGACAAGACCGGGGATGTGGGGGAGCTGGGACAAACCGACGGGGGAGCGAGTGAGAGGACAGGGCACAGCCGGGGACCCCTTGCGCCTTGGCCTTGCCACCGGCTTTATCTCCCCGAGATACCGGATACCGCCCACCCGCCCCACGGAGCACGGTGGCATAAGGTGTGACTGACGAGGGAGTTCCCCCTTTTGCGCAGCAACACCTTTAACTTTTAGGCCCTCCGAATTCGGATCGGAGCGTAGCGGCCGTAGGCCGTAGCGCGGAGTGGACCCCGAGTTTGGAAAAGGGCGACGGACGCTTGTGTCCTAGCCTCCAACAAACAACGCCTCCCCGGCGCAGAGGGGCCCCCGGAGGGATGCTCAACCGCCTCACGCCACGCCGCTTGCGGCGGTCTTCTTCCCAGCTCAGCTGTGGAATCGCGCGTTATTCTTTTTTCAGGGACAGGGTGTGCCTGTAATAGTGCTAGCACGCGCCAGTTCGCACCTGTGTCGAAAAAGAAAGAAAGAAAGAAAACAGACAACCCAAGCCCCAAGGGAGGGATGGGAGAACGGCACGCCGAGCCTGTCTGTTGGAATAATAAATTCTTTTTTCTTAACGGAGTCGCTTAGCCTTAGGCGGCTCCGGTGGTGTGCCGGTGATAGTACTAGCACGCGCCAGTTCGCACCTGTGTCGAGCCTGTCTGCTGTGAGTGAGTGAGTGAGTGAGTGAGTGAGTGAGTATTTTACACACACACACACACACACACACACACACACACACACTGTGAGAGAGAGTTCCTTTGTTTGGAGCACTTGGAGTGCGGTCAGTAACCTCACGCCCAGGACCGGGGAGCTGAGAAGCGCACCCAGTTGGCCGGACGCTCGGCATCGGGTTACGGGCAAGAGAGCCCTAGCCCTGGGGGGTGCGCGGTCGCAGGGCCGGAGCGCCCCTCTACTCCTTTTTAAATTCTTTTTTCGCAAAGACGCGCTCGCAAAGTAGTAAATTCTCCATGCCCGCTCGCAAACGCGCGCGCCGCGGGGGTGGCTTGACGCCGGCCGGGGAGCGTCCGCTCCTGGTTCCGCTGAACGACCCGGACGGTTCCCACCCCACGCTCCGCGCTCTCGCTGAGCAGTACCGCGCGCAGCAGCTTTGCGACTGCACTGTCACGGTCGATAGCCGCGCCTTTCTGGCGCACCGCTGCGTGCTCGCGTGCTGATGCTTTCCGGTGGGTCCGCCTCGTTTGCCGACTCGCAGAGCGCCGCGCTCGAGCTGCCGGAGCTTTGCGCCACCTGCTTTGAGGCGGCGCTCGAATACGTCTACACGGGCTCCTGCTCGATCGACGAGGCGGGTCTGCAGACCTTGTTGGAAGTGGCCGGGCGGCTTCAACTCGCGTCGCTGCAAGGCGTCGTCGCGGAGGCGCTGGAGGCGCGGCTCTCGGTGTCCAACTGCGTCGAGACGTGGAGCTTCGCCTCAGACGCAGCGCTGGTGCGGCTCGAGGCGGCGGCGACCGCCTTCGTGCTCAAGCACTTTGTGGAGGTGTCGCTCGGCGCCAGCCTCTCGCCCGAGATGATGGGCGTGCTGCTGCGCAGCGAGGACATCGAGGCCAGCGAGGAGGCTGTCTTCTCGGCCCTCGTGCGCTGGCTCCGCGCTCAGCCCGAGTCTGCGCGCGAGGAGGGCGCGGTGGCGGCGCTGCTGGAGCACGTCCGCTTCGCGGCGATGGACCAGAAGTTCGTCCGCGAGACCGTCGAGCAAGAGCCGCTGATGAAGAATGTCCCGGCACTCACGGTGCTCGCGCAGGCGCTTCGCGAGGGGCTGTCAAAGGAGGGGACGGCGCGGAGCCTGCCTCGCCTTCCACAAGGGGGCGAGTGGGTGATCGAAGCACCAGGTGCGATCGCGGCGGTGGATGGCAAGACGCTGACGTTCCTCAGTCGGCAAGACGATGATGACGACGACGACAACGAACGCAGTCGGAACGGTTTGGTGCGTCTGAGCGTGCCATTGGCCGCGGGGCGCTACGAAGTGCGCTTCAAGCTGCTGGAGGATGAGGTGAGAGGCGATAATGCGCGCTGCGGCTTCGGACTGATCAAGGAGGGAGCTTCTGAGGCATTTGAGCTTCAGCCCTGGTCCCACGGTTTTGGCGTGCAGAATCTTTGGTGGCTCCGGCGCTTCGAGCGCACCGTCTACAGCGAGTGGGAGACGTCCGGGAATTTTGATGATGAGACAAACCACCAACCGTACCAGCAGTTCCCCATCCCCTCGGATGTCCGCATCGTGGTCGACATGGATGCGGGCGAGGCTACCTTCTACGTCGACGAGGTCGAGATCCCGCACAAGGCGACGGGCATCACGGGGGCCGTCTTTCCGTGTGCCATGGCTTACAAAATGGAGAACTCTCTGGGAAACACCAACGTCGTTGTGTCGTTCGCGGGCGTGCGGCGGCTGTAGCGCGTTTTGCGATGCCAGCCGCTAACCGCGCGAGGGCGCCCTTGAGTTTTGCTTTTTTCCGCGGCTTTTCTTTTTATCGCAGAGTGAGGAAGAAAGTTTCGCGCCACACACAACCGAACTCTTACGTTACAGTCTTGCAAATCAATCCCCCCCCCACATGGACCTGCTACAAGTGCATATGTACATGTTCTCATGCACACATGGGCATGTCCCTCCAGCAATTCGTGCCAATTCCCGCCCGCCACAAACCGAAAATAACGCGCCTCGCCGCTGATAAACGCGTCGGGCCGGGCGCGTGGTGAGGCTGTTCCTTGCTGCAGCGCGGCGGCGGCGGCGGACCCCCAGCTCTCCACACGGCCGGTTGCCGCGTGGTGGTCCCGGCTACTCGCGGGCACGCCCTCGCGCCCCGTCCCTTCCCCCTCTCCCACCGCCGCGCCCCCCTGCCCGCGGCGAGGGAGTAGCCGCAGCGAGGCAGCTCCTCGATGCCGCTCGACCAGCGGACGGAGCCCGTGTTCGCGTGTTGACCTCGCAGACGAGGCAGTGCACCGACAGGTTCTCGGAGAGCGAGTCCTCGTTGCCTAATTAAATTAATTTATTAATTTATTAATTTAAACAATTTAACTCGGAGAGCGAGTCCTCGTTGCCGAACGGGTCGAGGAACGACTTTGAGAGGGCGAGGAAGCCGCGGAAGAAGACGCATCCGTCGCGTGTCAGTTTAATGACCGCGACCTTGAGTTGGTGTTCGGGCGAGCTCTGCGGTCGAGAGATGTTGCACTACTCGTCGACGCGCACGTCACTGGGTGTGGAGGGGAAGTCTCAGCCTTGTTGAAGCGCCCGTGGTGACAGAGAGCCGTGCTATACTTTCTTTCAGCTTCAAGGGAGGAGAGGAAAGGGGATTCTTTTCAGAGTTGGCCAGAATGTTCGTCGTTTCGTGTCAGTCGATACACGAACCTTTGTAGTATCTCTAGTAACCATATAATCAGTCGTATATCATCATGTATGAATATGAGGGTGGGTCATTAACAACGTTGGCGCTCTCAAGGAAAAGGAAAACTAGAAAAACGAACAAAACAGCGAGCGCGGCGCGTCGCATGGTGGCCGCTCTGCACCGCTCGCTGCTGGCGCGCGATTGATCGCGGCCACGCGCGGGGCGCCAAGCAACCCCGCGGCGGGGCGCCATCTCGCGCGGCGGGACGCGGCGCTGCGTCGGCGCCAAAACAGACGCGAGCTCGCGGCGCGGCCGCTGCGGCAAAAACATCAACGTCTACTCTCCTCTGGCTCTGCTCGGCTCGTCTTCGGTCGCGGGCGCGCACGCGCGCAGATGCGCGCGACGCGCGCCCGCGTCGCCGCGCGAAGAGCGATTTCGAACTCGGAGCCAACCGGCGAGGCGGTGGCGCGCGGCGGCAAAACACGCGGCGTCCGCTTCGTTGAGATGCTGCTGATCTGGCAGCACTAAATGTACTGCTGAGCGGGGCGGGGCTCGCGGTATACTGCGGCGGCGGACGAAGTCTCGTACCTGTTCGACCCCCTGCCATGGTTATAGCTTCGCGATTGGGGAGGATCTACCTGTCCGACCCAGCCGACGTCATCAGAAAGGCTGGCAGCCCTCAGCTGAGGGAGTGCGGAGAAAAGAGGAACGGGGTGCCCTTAGTCACAGCTTCCCCCGGGACATGTCCACGCTCTGGACGTCCCGGGACATGGCGATGGACGACCGGCCCTCGCGGGCCGGCCCACCCTGAGCCACGCCTGCTGCGCGGCGCTCGCGCGGCGGCGGTGTGTGTGTGTGTAGGGGGGGGGGGGGGGGCGCAGGGCAGAGGCTCAACGGTCACGTCGGCCGTCGTCCGAGGTTTTGCAGGTTGGAAAAGGGGGGAGGGGCAGGGGGCCCCTTCCCCCTTTGGCCCACGCCCAATTTAAAATGAAAGGGCGACTTCCCCTTTGTTTTATTTGGGCCTTTACTAATTTTTTTGAGTCACACTTGCACAATCCGCAGATGAGCCCTCCTTCCCGCAAGACTCCTTCCCGCAAGACTCCTAGCAAGACTCCTTCCCCCCGCCGCCGCAATTCTCCGCCCGGCGACCAGCAGCGCCGCGGCGACCGTCGCCACCGCCCCCGCCATCGCCGTTGCTGGCGGCGCCGCCCCCGCCCCCGCAGACGCCGCCGCCGGCTCGGCGCGCGCGAGGAAGGGGATCCATCCGAGCGGGATGTGCACCGTCGCATACCCATGCACCTGCTGCTCCGCGTAGTCCGTCAGCAGGGTCACGCCGCCGGTCCGCGAGGTGGGCGCCTACAGGAAGGTTCCAGGAAGGTTCCAGGAAAGGGCTAGGAAAGGGCACGCCGCCGGTCCGCGAGGCGGGCGCCTCCCCCCCCCACTCCTTGTACTCCTTGTCTGGGCACGGAGAGCCGCAACACAGCCCCTCGCCGTCGGCAGCCGCGATGGCGAGAGCGGCGGCAGCGCAGACGGGCGCATCGCCTACGTTCCGAATACGCCAGCCTCGGGGCGGGAAGGCGGGGCATTGTGCAGCGTCTTCAGAGCACCGCGTGAAGACAAGAGAGGCGGAGGCGGTGAGTGCAGGTGAATGCGGCCGAAGACGATCGAATGCAGTGGAATACGTTGCGCCCTCGAGGGCTAGTTGGGAGACAGGAACACGTATTCAGCTTCTAGGCCCGAGATATGGGGAGATATGGGGAGATGTGGAGAGGTATTCCGCTTCTAGGCGCATCGCCTTGCCAGGCGTGCCCGGCGGCGCAGGCGGCGTCGCAGGCGAGCATCTGGCGGTTGCAGGAGGAGGTGTCGTCGGAGCTGCAGCACTCGTCGTGCGCCCTGCGTCGGGCGGAGACGGGACTCGCCGAGTGCGGCGGGTAACGGGCAAGCAGCGGGCGAGCGGCGGGGGCAGAGAGCAGCGGGCGAGCGGCGGGGGCAGAGAGCAGAGGCCACAGACGGCAGCCGGCAGCGGCAGAGAGGGTACAGAGCAGAGCCGGCAGAGGGAGAGCGGTGGTGGGAGGTGTGGAGCTGGGCGGAGGCGGTGAGAGGTGCGACGGTGTATCAGTCGCCTTATGCCACCGTTGCATATCCGAATATGCAACGGTGGCATAAGTCCTCGCAAAACTGAGGCGGCACGCTAAGGTCGCAGGTGTGGAGCTGGGCGGAGGCGGTGAGAGGTGAGGTGAGGAGGCGCCTGCAACAGGCGTCCTCGCAAAACTGAGGCGGCACGCTAAAGTCGCAGGCAAAGTCGTCTCCCGCCTCGTACCTCTCGCGCACGTCGGCGCCGCCGCACCAGCGCACGCCGCAGTAGGCGCCGCAGGCGCGTAGACCGAACCAGTGCTGCGGGTTGCTGTCCGTAAAGACGTCGATCAGGTCGATGGAGAGCTCGAGGTCGGAGTGCGGCGCCCCGGGAGGCGACGGCGGCGCGGGAGGGAGCGGCGGAGGCGGCGAGGGCGAGGGCGGCGAGGGCGGCGGCGACGATGGCTCGGGAGGAGGGGGCGGAGGAGGCGGAGGCGGAGGCGGAGGCGGCGGAGGCGGCGAGGGTGGCGGCAGAGAGGGGGGTGGTGGCGGCTCCGGCGGCGCTGGGGGCGTGGCGGGCCCCGCCGAGCCCCACCATACGAAGGCGGAGCTGCCCGCGGCGAGCAGAAGCGTGGCGGCGGCCATGGCGCGCGGGGGGAGCAGTGGAGCGGCGGCGCGGCGGCGTGGCTGCTGGGGAGGCCTAGTGCGCGCACGCTGGACGTGGAGGTACCTCCTTGGTCAAGGTCAAAGAGAAAGTGGACCTATTTGGATTCCCTCCGCCGCCGCCGCTGCCGCGGCAATAACGGGATTTTCTTTTCTTCTCGACCAGACGCCGTCGGCGGCCTGCCGCCGCTCTCTGCCCTCTCGGCGGCCGCCACAGCGAGCACCCACCCGCAGCCCGGGGCCACGCGGCCGGGCACCAGGCCTTCGATGGCGGCTTCGCCCGCCATCGACCTGCGAGAGCCGCTCGCGGCTCTGTTCAAGCGCGCGGGAGTCGCCGACATCCTCTACCGCAGGTATGAGGGGCGGCTCGCGGAGCTGGGCGTTGGCGATGCCGGCGACCTCCTCGAGGAGGTCGCTGAGAAGGGCATCGGCTCGCTCGACATCCACGACCGCCAGGCGGAGAAGCTCCGCCGAGCTCTTCTCGGCCCGCGGGGCTGGGGGGACGCAGCTGCGGTCTTGGCATCCCTCAGCGGCTTGTCGCTGGGCGACACCCCGGCTGGGGTGGCGGCTGGCGATCAGGCGGCTGGTGGCGGGGCAGCGGCTGGCGGCGCGGGCCGCGGCGGCGCGCGCCCCGAAGAGGCGGACGGCGGTGCCTGCGACGCGCAGGCCGCTGAAGGTGGGTCCGGAGGTGGGACCGAGGGATCCAGTTTGGACCCCTTGGAGCCCGCGCTGCCGGAGAGCGGCGATGGGACGATTGCCGCCGAGGGGGGGGAGGAGGAGGTCGAGGACGGGCGGAAGGCGCCGCGGCGCCGCCGAGGGCGGCGCGGCCGTGGCGCCAGGGGTCGCGGGGGGGGGCTCGAGAAGGTGCCCGACACCGCGGCGGGTTTGGCTGCTGAGCGGCCCAACCAAGTGGAGGAGGTTTCCACCGGCGGCGCGGCGCCGGCGGAGGGGGAGGAGAGCGGCGCCGTGTCGCCCGATTGTTCCCGAGAGGTCCACACGGCCTCCCTTCTTGAAGGTGAGGCCTCCATGACCGCCCGCATTGAGTCGCGCGACCTCGAGTCGCGCGCAGCAGGCGCTCAGGATTCTTCTTTTTCCAGTGCCGACCATCGGGAACATGAAAGCTGGCGGCGCCGCGGCGGGGCGGCGTGGTGGCGGGCGCATTGGGCGCAGCTGAACGTCGGGCAGTGGCTCGGCGTCGTCGAGCCGTGCTGCCTCTGCGGGCGGCCCGGGGCGGCGGGCCAGTACACAGGCTTCTGCGCGGCGCCCTATCTCGCCACCACTGACGATCGGTGGGAGGTGCCTGGCCTGCGCCAGGCATACGTCGCGCATGGCATGTGCGGCGGGCTCTGCCGAGGATGGGGCTGCTGCGAGGCGCGGGGCGTGGCGCAGCCGCAGGATGGGAGCGGCGAGGCGCGAGGCGAGGGCGAGGGCGAGGGCGAGCTAAGCTCGGACGGCGACTCGGACCGGTCTGCGGGAGACCCTGTGTGGGGCTCGGCGGCGCTGGAGGACGAGTGGCGCGCCGCGTCTCTCGCGAGGCAGGCGGTAGGCGACGCGGCGTACGCCGCGGCGCATGCTGCTGGCGCTTCGCGGGCTGAGGCGTGCGACGCCGCCGTGAGGGCGGTGAGGTTGGACGAGGTTGAGGCTCAGTCCTCGTTCCTCGTGCGCGCTGGGTGGTACGGCTCCGGCCGTGATGGGGGCGGGGAGGGGGAGGGGGCGACGGCCGCACGGAATCGCCGCCGGCGGGGGGCGAGGGCGCGGGCGAAGGAGGAGGAGCCAGAGCCCGGGGAGGATTGGGAGGGGGAGGAGCGGCCGGAGGAGTACGCCGGCCTCTTTGACGACCCGTAAGGGGCCGTCGCCTGCTGTGCCATTTGTAGTGCCAGTCCGAGCCAGTCTGCTGTGAGAGGGGCCTGTATAGTAAAATTCTTCTCGACCCGCAGAATTCCCAAGCACGCCCGCGACCGCCCCCGCTGCTGCAACGAGGAGCGCTTGCCACTGCACCACTCTGGTCGCGCGGGGTGTTTCTGGTGATTCTCGCTCCACAAAACCATGGCAGGCACCACCGATTCGACGACAGCGACCAGCGCCCCTGACGCAGCGGTTGGCGATGCGCCAGAGAAGACGCGCAAGGCTGGTGAGCGCAAGGATGGTGAGGGGCGGTACTCTCGCTCGCGCTCGCGCGAGCGCACCAGCTACCGCGACCGCGACCGATCGCGTGACCGCGACAGGCGTGACCGCCGCGACAGCGACCGAGACCGTCGCTCCTCACGCTCAGACCGGGACCGGCGCGACCGGCGCTCTGACACGCGCGACCGGCGGTACGAGGATGAGCGGCGGTCCTCGCGCTACGAGCGCCGCTCGTCGCGCTCTCGCTCTCCGCGCCGCAAGCGGACCAAGGATAAGACGCCCGCATTTGATAAAGGCGCGGTCGCAGCGGCGCTTGCGCGCGCAAACGGAGCAATCACAGGCTCCTTCGCGTCGACGGTACCGGGGGCGGACCCGTCGCTGGGCTACGGGCTGGGGACGGTCGGGCTGCTCGCGAACCCCGCCGTCTCAGCCCTGCAGGCAGACCCCCCCCCCCCCTCCCCCCCCTCTAACCAGGCGCCAAAAGGCCGTCTCCGGGATGGAGACGCGCCGCGCCGGCGAGTCGGTGCAGCAGTTCTTCCAGCGGCGCATGGCGGGCATGCGCATGCTCAAGGCGAGATACACCGAGATACATCGAGATACACCGAGATAGACCGAGATACACCGAGAA